GATGTATCCTCTTACACTGCACAAAGTGTAGGACCAAATTCTCTGTGCCCTGTCCTCCAACCTAAAGAGAAGCCTGTGTCTCCCAGGGCTGTGTTCCCATTCTGCTCCCAATCACGGGAAATCCTCTGGTATGTCTGACATAGTCAGGATGACTCCAGCCACCATGTTTCTTCCTAGAGGCAAAGAAAGCAGAACTCGGCATCTGCTTCGCTGGAGACAGAAGAAGGGCATGGGGGCAAGGGGTGCAGAAAGAAGAGGAAATACTAATGTTTTTACGTGTTAGTCAATCACACTTGCTTTCAGAAGGAGTTAGAATTCCTGTTGTAATCCATAGCCAGTAGTGCTGATCTTCTGTTTGCCTTTCACTTTGGTTTAGCATCTGTGATACATTTTCAGTCATTTTAAAACCCACTACCGCCGGGCGGTGGTGGCGCACGCCTTTAATCCCAGCACTCGGGAGGCAGAGCCAGGCGGATCTCTGTGAGTTCGAGGCCAGCCTGGACTACCAAGTGAGTTCCAGGAAAGGCGCAAAGCTACACAGAGAAACCCTGTCTCGAAAAACCAAAAAAAAAAAAAAAAAACCCACTACCACCACCACCACCACCAAAAATATCTTATAGCAACAGAGGATGCATTTGCAGTATTCTCAGCACAAACCCAATTTTTTTAACTACACAGGATTATATCTTGGAACTATTCAAGTTCCCCTGCTCCCTAACAGGTCCTACACCTGCCTCAGGATGCTTCCTCTTCCTGGAAGCTTGCTTTGACTGCCTTGGTGTACTCTAACCAGGGGGCTCTCTTAATCCCAGTCACTGGCATGCTCATTCTGTTTACCTTTGAACAGAATCACATCATATCTTACTTTCCTCCCAAGAACACATGGCACAGAGCACTCAACTCCACTGTGTGAGGAATTGAAGGGCACATAGTGTGGCTAAGATGTCCCTGTCCCTCTCTCAAGGCCTCATACAGAATAGGACTCCATAAGTGTTTGATGACTAGATGGTTCCTACAACTTTAGCCAGATACCACTACTATTAGTTAGTTCTCCTCCTCTCTCTTTGGGCAGTAAGTAGAGAAATTGTTTTGGATTCATATCTATCTACTCATGGAAATAAAATAATGGCTCATTATTTCCCTCCTTCTATGGCCTTAAAATTTTTCTGAAGATGGAAGTGCAAGATATTCTTTAAGGCATAGGTGAATGCTCTATATAAAATATTGAAATGTAGTAACAATTAATGAAAAAAGAAGCCATGACTTGGAAAGAGGGAAAGGAGGGGTATATGAGAGAGTCTAAGAAGAAAGGAAGGGAAGGAGGAAAAGATGTAATTATAATCTCAAAAACAAAAAGTAAAATAAATGTATAGTTATAAGTTACGTGGCACCATGTGCCATCCTCTTCCTGCTCCATTTACAGTTGACATTGAATGTTAACATTCTCCAAGTTCTCCATTATACAGTGAGTTCATGTATTTTGAAGGTCCTGCTACCAATTTTTTCCTGAAGCACTTGCAAATCATTCAAAAAAGACTATTGATGTATGTAGTAGTTGGAAGTTTTTCTGTGTCCCGCCCAGTCCGTAGCCGCTCAGACCCAAGTAAACACACAGAGGCTTATATTAATTAAAACTGCTCAGCCATTAACTCAGGCTTACTACCAACTAACTCTTACACTTAAACTCAGCCCATTTCTGTTCATCTATATGTCACCACGTGTTCCGTGGCTTTACCTGTGTGTCATTACATGCTGCTCCCTGGACGGCAGGTTGGCATCTCCTCATTCAGCCTTCCTCTTCCCAGAATTCTCCTTGTCTGCTTATCCTGCCTCTATTTCCTGCCTGGCTACTGGCCAATCACCATTTTATTAAACCAGTGTACAAAAGCATTATCCCACAGCAGATGTAGGCAACTGATAAAAATGCAGGTGACTGTACTGGAAAAGATTGTAATTTCAGCACAAGTGAAGGAAGAGTCTTACTTTTCCAAAATGGCCCCAAATAATGAGAGTTGATCTTCCAAACTCATTTCATAAGCATGATTGTTCCATTGATTGTGTGAGGGAAAAAAATTTTAAATGTGGACACTTTGGGTGACTTTTCATATATAAGAACAAAGAAATATGAAATAACAGAAATTTGAAGCATTTCAGATAAAGGCACTGAAAGGATGATGACTTGTCTGCCTTTTCAACTTCAAAAAAATCTGAAAAAGCACACACTCAGATGTGTGTTAGTGTTTTAAAACTGATATTTTTTGCTCCAAGCGTGTTTCAGTTCCCTTGGTGATACAAGTTCATAAATGTAACCAGGGCAAACCTACCATGGTGGCCAATAGTCTGATTCCAGAAATTACCCAAAAAATTTCTATTTGCCTGTACTGTTGCCCTTTGTCCCAGATGCCTTACTCGAGGCATCCCACCCCTCTAGTCCAGTCAAATCTGAGCTCTCTTCTGCTTGGACTCTTCGGATTCCTTTTGCTCAATGCTGTGGTTTATGGCAAACATCGTTTAAACTCTTCCCCTGTGTTCTGGACAGAGCCCTTGAAAACAAAGGAACGAGAGCTCCCTCTAGGAATTGTCACTATATGTGGAAAAGATGAACAGGAGGCTGATGTGACCAAGGCATCACAGGAAGGCTGTCCTCTAATCTCCTTTAGAAGTACCAGAGAAGCGTCTAGAAAGCTTAATCAGCTACAGTGGCCAAGCTTAAGCTACACAGTGGCCAAGAAACAGCCTGAAGTTTCTCTCAGGAGCAGTTGGGGAAGGCCTGGGAGAGCAGTTCTGTAGCCACAGCTGTGATCCATTACTATGAGGGCAAACAGGAAGCCCTCTTTAATAGAATTATTCCATCTGGTACCTTTTGTACTCTAAGAGATACAGGCCCATTTGCTGTCATTTTGGAAAGCAATGATGATCATCAGAAGATATCAGATTACCTTGCCTATGTGCTAAGACTCAGTTGTATGTAGTATATCCTCATGGGAAAGAAAGAGAGCAAAAAAGGCAAATGCTGTCTTTGTACTATGCTGGACATGGTTTCGACCCCATGGAGCCCCTGAAGGCATCTCAAGAACATACAAGGGTCACTACAGCATATTTTGAGAATCACTACCTGGGAGCATAATCTTAAAATGGATTCTAAGAATACAGCCAGGTTAGCAGGGGTGGGAAGGGAACGTGTGGGTGATGAGGACAAGGTTCCGAAGCCCAGGCATGAGCTGGGGCAGCAGACATGCCCAGGGAGCATAACCTCTTATTCTCTGACTACATATAACTTCCAATTCTGTTTATAGCAACATTGACTTTGAAATGGGCATTGCCAGTATCCAAAGATCTAAATGAGAGCTGTTCTTTGGGAGAGTCATCTTTCCAGTCTGATTTTTTTTTTCAACTGCTACCTGTGATTAAAATTTTGGAATTATGTTATTGGGTTTTTTTTGTTTTTTGTTTTTTTAAAAAAAACTCATTTCTCTATAAATGAACTTGGTTTTACTAAGGTTTACTAAAATGATACTAAGGAGTTAGCGGGGGAACAACTTGAACCATCAGTCTTGACTCCAGGTGGTCTTCCAATTTGTGAAAATTAAACCATCTTTGAAGGATGAAATGTGCTCAGTCAGCAATCATGCTCAAACTCTCCCACTCACTTGTGTCTGTATTGTATGCAGTATCTTGTTCAGACACAGGCCCTGGCCTGGGAGCTTATCATCTAATAAAACAGGCAAGGGAACTTCAGTGCGAACCCAGTCTAGCAAGTGACATAGTTGAGGAAAAGATCAAGTTGGGTTGAAGGCAAGTGCTCTAAGGGGCTGGGAAAGGGATACCTGTTCTACTTCACTCTAAAGAACTCAAATTTGCCAGAGAGGAGTGGGATGGGACACAAGTGAAGATGATCCCTGGAAGGACCCCAGGTAGAGCAGCTCATTTGATGAGCTTGAAAGTAATTAAAAATGGAGGCAGAAGAGACTGATTAGTCATGAGACATGACTTAGAGCAGGGCCTGGTAGATCATCTTGAACTTTATCCCAGAGGCCAAGGAGATCCACTGATCTATTTGCACTGTATTTTCAAACCATCTTGGTAAGCTCCTAGCATGTGTTTCATACTGTGGGCAGGCCCAGGAAGACAATAAAAACACAACCCAGACCTGTCCCTGACCAGCTATGACCAGCAGACCTAAACTTGGTCTTGACTTCAACTAGCATGGAAGCCAGTTAGTTGGTGCTACTCGAGCTGACAGTCTTATACCTTTGACATCATAGAATTCCTTCCTCACCAGGAGAAAATAGGGGACAGGTCTGAAAGAACTGTGGCACCTTTCCTGAAAACATGATCAAAGCCTATAAATGGCACAACCTGGAGGGACTCAGACTGAGAGCTGAGCTGCTTGGAGGTTGCTCCTTTTATTCTCTCACAGCCTCAAAGTGGCCACCCACAAAATGTTGCTACTTTTTCATTCAGAAGGCTAAGTGGGATGCTTGTCAACTGCTGGTGGACTACAGAGTACATAATAGGTGTCCAAAATTGGTTACCAGGTACTACCATCATCGTGGAAGACACACGCAACGAGGTCATCTCAATGTGTCTTGCAACATCTGAACCAGAGAAGCTGTGCCTTTCAGAGCGGCAGATCCGCTACAACATCCAAATTTAGTGCCTCACACATGTGGCTTATCGTACTGCCCAACCCCAACAACATGCAACTGAAATAAGATAAAAAAATTTTTTTAAAGGAATATTAAGTGCACAGCTGAAATGATGGCTTATTAAAGATTCCTTTCCTTGGGGGGGTGGGGGGGTGGGGGGGATTCCAGACTCCTCTTCCACACAGTAGGTTCCCCCAGCTCTGTACTCATGAACACACTAACAATGTGCTGAAGGATGAGTGGAAGAAGCCAGGGAAGGAGCCTGTCCTGTGATCCTGAGCAGAGTGCCCAATGCATCCACTATGAACCACACACATCCATAAAAGAAAGGAAAGCAGGACAGATGTTAGATTGGATTTACCAGGTCTTTGTTGCAATGTTCTCCATCATTGGAAAAAAAATATTACATCATCAAATAAGGACAGTAGCAGCACAGCTTATTGAAATGTTACAAGCAAATTTCCCACTTCTCCTCCTAAGAACAATACGAAATGCCCCCCAACACATTATTAACTGTAAAATGCCTTTTAAAAAAGAAAAAGAAAAGCACCATGAAATCCTACAAAGAGAAAAATAGGTAAAACATCTCCACACGTGTGATTATCATCTGTCATCCCTTGCCTGAAGTTCTGGGACAGAAAAGGAACAAAGGTTAGCATACAAGGTGATTTGCATTTCACTTCTAGGCATGGCTGCAGCTTCCCGCTTAGAGCTAGAGCCCTAGCCACAGGGAACAGACTGTGCAGCAGCCTCCATGGCACAAGTCTACTGAGATGATGGACTGGAAGTCTTCTCAAAAAGGTTTCTTTTTAACGCCTAGGAAACTGTTTTGTTTTCACTTAAGGACAAAGAACATAAGGGGGTCCCCAATCTCAGGCACCTGTGAAAATGATAATCCCATCCAGTAAGTCGGAAACACCTCTCACTTCTCTATACCGCGCTAAGCTGGTGTTGTATGATCTTCAGACATGAAGGGACCATGAAACACATGGAACATGGAAAAGGCGGTGAGGTGTAACGTGGCTGTCGCACAAGGGCAGAATGCGGGACTTTATCAGAGCCATGTAGCTGCCACACTGTATGCAGACTCGACAGCATCCGCAATGCCAAATGAAAGTGGTATCGTGTGTCTTGTTGAGGCTGTTACTAACCAGTTGTTACGCTGTAGCGGGAGCGGCTTCCCCTGTCCCCTCAGCCTCTGTCTTTGCACACAGTCGTATCCTAATGATGAGAAAGACTGCCGGACATGAAGCACTGGCAAAAGCAGGAGGCCAAACTGCAGGAGGTGGCAGGGCTGGCTTTCTTTTCTAGAGAGCCTCTGCGAGCTTGTTTGGCTTCCTTCCCTTCTGGTGTCTTTGCTCTAAGGCTGAAACCATTCTGCACACTGGATGGTTGACATTCTTCCCCAGTCCAGTGAGCCACAACCACCTCAATCAGAACCCTGGCACACATTTTCACTAACCGCCTCCCCCAAACCAAGCATACACATAGGTATGCAGCTTTGACTTCCCCCAGAAATGACACCTCAGAAGGCGGGGAGGGGTTGTTTGCTCCTGTTTAGCACAACTAGAACTTTTCACATGAAGTTGTCCCCATGGAACCCAAAAAGTCATTTCCCACTTGCACGTGTGCCTTTGCGTACCGGAAGGAGGGAGGGAGAAGGACCTGAATTCACAACACAATCAAATGGAACCTTTAGTACAACTGAGTGCAAACAGCAGTGGCTTACAATCCTTTGACTAGTCATAACGTCATTGCCCTGACCCACCCCCTACATGTTCCCCCCCCAAAAAAAAACTGCATCCAGTGAGCTGCCAGGTGAAGGGGTGCCAGACTAGATCAGTGGATAGACCCTATACGGAATATGATTATAATTTGGACACCAGTCTCTCGAATACATCTGGTCTCCACCAACCATGCAGAAAACAAACACCAAGGGTAGGAATGGGGCCATTAGTCAATATTCAAAAATCCAACTCAATAATTTTCTGATTAAATTAACTCATGGACTGGGAAATGTTCTCTCAGAGCACTATACAACTGGAAAAGGGTTTGGTAGTAATCTATGCTCAGTTTTCTTGGTGTGCAGTTGAGGTACAGGGAAGCAGTGTGCCCATGAGCATAAACTGTGATGTGGACGAGCACAAACAGTAGTCCCAGATACCTGAATTATAGGCCAGTGACCTCTTTCTCACCACACATGCCACCCACATACGCACCGTACAGCCCTATACCCAAACTGCCAAACTGCCAGAGTGAATCATTACTGAGTTAGGACTGGGTATATAATAGAGCCTCTCCAAACTATCCTTTGGCTCTCACTAATGAACTTCCAGATGAGAAAACTCTTCTGGATCCAGCTGCCAAATGAAGCACAACACTGCCTGCTGAAGATACCAAACATGTGCCCTTCCCAAGTGTAACATCCATCCATTTATCCTGGGTTTAAGAGGGGCAGGGGGTTCTGATGGGGAGGGGAGAGGCTGGGATGATGCTTGTATGTAACACATAGCAGCTGTCTTATCACACATGTTCTGCATGTTATTTACCCCTATCTTTATAGGGGTAACATCCAAACAACCAATACCTACAGGCTTAGCATGTACAAATGAAGAGAAATTAAATTTCTCATTCCCTCTTCAGCTTCTCCTTTGGAGAGTACTTCACAGTTTTTAGAACACTTTTTCCACATACACTATCTTCATAGAGGGTCTTCTTTGACATCATTTAGAACCTGTATCCAACACTCAGGGAATGGGTTACATACTCTCAATCCAAGGTTATGTTTGATTCTCAGTATTACTGCAGTTTGATTCTTGTGAATACATCTATGCACACGCCAACTTGTGCACCTCTTCCATTTGGTCAGCCACGTATCTCAAACCTCTGAGCTGTCTAATTCCTGCTGTATGAAGAGTTCCCCCAAGAAAATCAAGTAAAGTGCAAAGGAGTGCTTTTGAGGGGTATTTCTAGCAATATAGAAAAGGTGCTGCCTAGGGCATCCCCAAGCCAAGAGCATACAGTAGGTATCTTTGAGGGCAACCTTTTAGGCCAGGTTTACTCCAAAACTTCATGTCTTCATGGGGTAAAAATGCCTATTTTCACCTCACCTCTGTCAACTGTGCTCATTGAAACTTGTAAGACGTGTGCATGCGCACACTTGCAACACCCACAACCACACACATGCACACACTCTCATTCACAAGGGTCCATACTGTGGACACTGTAGAGAAACTGAAAACAGACTCTACCCCCTTCTTGCTGTGTACTACTGGTAAGTTAGCCTCCCTGAGTCTCTGTGTCCTCATCTCTACAAAAAATCTGTAAATGCTTCCCCAATGCAATATGGTGAGGTTTCAGTGAGTACCGTAAAACGTACCATTCAGTGCCAAGTCCGTGAAAGGCACTGAATAAATGACAGGGGTGCTTCTCTACCGGATACAGATCCAGTGCCTGCAGTTTTAACACAACCATAAAGACATAGCAAGGTACCACACAGTGGAAACCTAAATGAATGAGATCCACGTGCAGTTTCATTGGGAAACTTGTCAGAACAAGAGAAATCCCACTTATCTGTTCTTTAACACATAATGACCCTGACTGGACCCTTGCCATAATGAAAGCCCAGTGTCCACACCTGTATACACATCATTTCCAAGAGTCTACACAGCACTGTGAGGAACACCAGTGAGCCAATGTTCTGTTCTGGTGGAGGAGTTATCTCAGACAAACCCTTGACAGAAAAGACCTCACCATAGTGATTCTTCTTTGACTTCTCAGATCTCTAACAAGATTCTGAAGGTTTGGGATCTGGGAAACGGGCTTCTGTGCTTCAAGAAGGGGACAGCTGTAAGCGGGGCATTTGAGGGAAATAGGCAGGGGTGATGGGTCTTCCATGGTACCAGTGGTCAAGGAGGCAGTGGGTATAATTTTCCCCTCAGAGTTAGAAAATGGTAGATGGTTTCTGGGAGTCTCCACTTGTGCTATGATCTTTTGTTAAATATGCTCTGTGAATTAGTTATAGAAAATTACATAAACTCCCCAAAGATGGTTCTGAGTCTAGAAGACCCATAGCCAGCAATTGTCTCATATTATACGGTCCAAATGTTTAAGTGCAGGGGCCCAGATCACCAGCTAGCTGAACCAACACGCCGGCCAAATCTGATGAAAGCCGAAGCATATACAGGTGAGACAGAAGCCTACTGTGGATTTCTGATTAAAAAAAAAAAAAAAAAAAAAAAAAAAAAAAACAAAAAACAAAAAACATCCTCCCAACCTACCGTTGGACCTTTCCCACAACGTTCCTTCACCGAACATTGTAACGTGATAAGCAATCATAGCTATTACATGTTAATCATCGTTTGCCTAGAAGGAGAGTTACCATTTGAGTGAATAACAGGTGTGAGAAGAACAGGTGAGGAAGGGTTATATCAGCATAATAAAGGCATAAAGAAACACAGGCATAAAATGAAATTGATAAAGACACGATAAAACACAAGAATGAAGTGAACTATTTTGAATACTCCTTTTCAGTGTTATTTTTTAAATGGCATTAATGGCACTTAAGCTGCAAACAACTTAAACCATTTCAATCTTAATGTACAAGGATTGAGTGAGAGATTCATTTTCCTTTTGTATGGAAATAGCTATGTCTACTCTATGACACCCAAAAGGACAAAAAGCCCTGAGATGGAAAGATGCCACGGTCCTCCTTGGTGTGTCTCATAAACACAAGATGTCTATATTTATTTTTATTTAAAAAAAAATGAGTATCAGCTAGACAGAACAGCAAGCCACTGGCATCATGCAAAGGCAATAATTTTGGTATTTCCTCCCTCCTATCAAAACAAGTTATAATTAAAGTTCCCATAGAAAAGTGAGTATGAATGTTCCAAAATCAGTTTATTTTGACCTTCACACCCACTGAAGACAATGCATGATTTGCCTTTCAACCAGGCAGTGGCTGAGGTGGTGTTTTCACCAATACTTGCAAGCCTGCCTGGACTACCTATCCCTGGAAAAGGACAAAGTTCAGTGGGCTTCTGTCATTGGTTAAGGAGATATCCACAGTGGGATGTGTCTGTGATTTTTTTCTTTTAATGAGAAAAGCAATTGCACCTTATAAAACGTGTGCTCTGATCAGCTTCCCACAAATTCCAGGTACTCTTGGGTCCCACGGATGTTCATTTTGTAGGTGTTCTGCACTGTGGCCTGTCAAAATTCAAGCTGAGGACATGCCAACATACCCATTCAAACCCTAGCTAGAGTTACCAGGTCACCTGCGAACAGCTGCCCCTGTTGTGTGCAACCTATCACTAAAGGTAGGTTCAGGAATGGAGACTCCATTCAAAAGACAAACCTGTCCTCTCAGAGGCTAGTCTAAGGAATAGCTGCCCACGTCTACGTGCCATGTCAGTGGTGCTGTGTGAGGGCTACGGCATCGCCATTGGGAGGCCCCTCACAGGGACAGCCCGACACCTGCTATGTATGCAACCCCTCCCCGTGTGTCCTGCCGCCACTATCTGAAATGAAGCTCTTGTCTGATTTCCCTTTGGCCGAGCCAGCTTTCAGTCGTGTATGGCACAGTGAAATATAGTCTTCAATGTTATGTAATTTTGGACTAACAAGAAGTCTGTTTAAGGCACGTGTCTCAGTGTGAATATTTAAAAAGAAGAGAAAAGGAAAACAAAACCAAACCACAAAAACAAGACAACACTTAGTCCAACTCCAGAGTCTTTAACATTTAGTTTCTGTCTTCAAGTAAGGAGTTGTTCTCCAGCCCCTGGTCTTTGGTGTCCGTGGGTACCATTCCGTTCTCCATCTCAGCTTGCTGCTGTAGACATTCTGTCAGCATGGCTGTGCTAGAGTTGTCTGAGTTACACATCTTTTCTGTCTCCTCCTCTTTCTTCTCTTCATCCAGAGAGTAATTCCGGAAGGTTTTGTAGATTTTCTGAACATCCTCGGGTAAGGTCTTTTTGAGATCTTTGTTTTTCCTCTTGGTGAGTCTGGAGGTGGACCCGAACTTGTTGATGATGTTGTCCTCAGAAGCGCCTTGCCCGTGTTTGTTGAGCTGTTCTGACCCCTTAAGGCGCAGGTTGTTGGGTCGGTTGTTGATGCTTTCCTGGGATGAGGCCTTGAAGCGGCCTGTATCCAAGGCTGCAAAGACAGAACGCTTCTCAGGGGAGAGCATGTCCAGCGAGTGGGCCCTCTGGTCCAAGCCCAGCCTCCGGCGCTCCATACTGCGGATGGTAGCTGCTCGCTGCAGTTTGTCATGGATCTCAACGCTGAGGCGCCTTCTCGTTTCCCGGAACTCGGCGGTGACATTAGCTTTCCATTCAGCTGCGTGGGCTTTGATCTCACCCACCTGGACAAGACAGAAGAGAAAGAATAAACTAAGAAATTCCTCTCCCTCCATGCTTCTCAGAACCTCACAGCCCTCAGGTATCCCAGGAGGGAGGCTGTCTCCAGGGGAGCCCAAGGAATGATGGTCTCCTAGGGAAAGAGAGAAAGCACTACATCTGTTTTCTCCCATACTTCCTGCCATCCAATCAGTCACCCATGTCAGACTGGCTAGTGGCTAACTAATGGAGTAGGGAGAGCTTGGAAGGACTTGAGGTTGGGAAACTGTGCCTGAATACAGGTGGGGCAGCATCTGGAGGAGAGATCAGGATTTTCGTTCCACTTGCGCTCTCTCTCTCTCTCCCTCCAATTGTATGGCCCCAGTTTCCTCACATATATGTCTCATGGAGCTTCTATCATCCATAACATCACAGACCACATCTAACTCAATCTTGGCCATAAAATCAGTGCTCAGCAAACCTCTGTCATTTCCTATCTTTCCAATACTTCTGTCTGGGTAAGATGACCAACCTATCCCAGCTTCCTGAATTCCAAACGCTGAGGGTAGAACTCAGTAGTAGAACTTAGTAGTAGAACACCTGCCTTGCATTGCAAAATAAAAAAAAAAAAAAAAAAAAAAAAAAGAACACCTGCCTAGCATGTACAAGGCCCCAAGGTTCGATTCCTGAAGTATTGAGAAAGAAAAAATGTCCTGTGAGTCAGGAAATCCCCCTAAGTCCTGGGCAAACTGTGATAGAAGGTTAGTCACCCTCTATTGGAGTCATGCTACAACCATGTGCTAAGGGACTTGCCCTGGCAGAGGAAGCCCCTCCAAGGGACCTGATAACCATATTTCCCTGGTTAAGGTGCAGGAAAAGGGCATTTCCCACCAAAGCCCAGCTAAAATACTTTCCTAGAAAGTGAAGTTTTGCTGGAGACTCGTCGCCAAATTCCTTGGTTGCTTAATTCTCAGGGCATGCAGTACCCACATGCATCCTGCTTCCCTATAGAGGTGAATGCCTCAAGACTTATTACCATTTAGCAAAGTTTGTGTTTATGTTGTTCCTCTTTTGTTATTGCCAATATTCCGCAGGTCAGCTAGTCATCAGGGGAATCAGCCCGGCAATGGCATTGGCAGTGTTTACACAAGCCAGCAGCATTAACGTGTACGCCCAGGAATTGGGGAAGAGGAAAGCTCCTTTGACAACTGTCTCCTAGGTCCCTTTTTACCAGATGAACTGAGCAGCTACCCTTAAAGGGAGTGTCTGTCCTTCTCCTGTCCTCTTTGAGTTTTCTTCTCCCTGTTTCTTTCACTCTCTCCCCCTACTTATTTTCCTCTCTTCACAGAAGCATGACACTTTCAGTGTCCTAAGTGTCTTTTCCTCTTGTCCTTTTCTTGCCTGTATCTCGATCAGTGGTTCTCAACCTGTAGGTTGCAACCCCTTTGGGAGTCAAACAACCCTTTTCACATGGGTGACACATCAAATATCCTGCATATCAGATATTTGCATTACAATTCGTAACAGTAGAAAATTAGTTATGAAATAGCAACAAAATAATTTTATGGTTGGGGTCATCACAGCACAAGGAACTGTATAAAAGGGTCATAGCATTAGGAAGGTAGAGAACCAGTGCTGTAGAGTTTCTTATAAACTTCTAGAAGGAGTGAAGACTGCAGGTGTCTGCCAACAGGAATAAAATCTGAGGTTCTGAACATGGGGGGACATGGGGAAATATGTGCAGAGAGGACCCCTTGAGCCTGTTTCCCCATGGCTGGCCACTGTTCAGCGACTTTCACCTAGCAGTGTCCAATGTGCCATCTCCATGCTAATTCTGAGACCTGGAGGACAGGCCAGCTTCCCCAGGCTCCCTACGAATCCACAGAGCCTCCCACATGTTTGCTAACACAGGCAACTGCGTTCTTTCTGCAGCAACCATCCACCCTCACTCATCATTTCCATTTTCTTCTTTACACTTTTTAGCAGTTATTTACTAAAGGATCTAGAAATAACTACTGTCCACTCAACTTTGCTTCTAAATAGATGGAAAAAGAAGCCATATAATCCCTTCATGGTATCAGAAATGGACATTTTTCAACGAGGACTAATAGGAAGTTAAGGACATTCGAGAAGTCCTACCTCTTCTTTCGTCTTTTTGGATAGAACCCGCAGCCAGTCTCCGATCATACTGAGGACAGCTGCAAAGTAGGCAAGGCCGACGAGGATCCAAAACCACACCAGCGGCTTATACCACTCTCGGTAATTGATGCCAGCATTTCCCCCTGAAAACAACCACATGGTACTTTAGCATGGTTGGCAATTGGTCTTCACAGAGCACATTCCAGTCCATGGAGGAAAATACCATTCCACAGTCCAGTGACAGGCCATTAGGCTTGCAGGATACAAACACAACAAAGGCCAGAGTTTTACTTAAATTACAAAGTTTAATTTCTTTGATTCTTAACCACTAAAAATAAACCTCAGTTCTGCAACAGAAAAATGTCAGTGGTCACCTTGAGTTATCTACTCTCATTGGCAAAGAATTGACTTCACAGGAGAAGTAGCTCAGATGCCAGCCCACCTGTCACTTTGTTTCTCCCATACTCCTCTGAATTTACCTTATTAACACAGATTCAGTACTTTGAGGGTTCAGCCTAGTAGTACACATCATCACTCAAGAAGCAAAGACAAGAGGAGCCCACTGTAAGTTCAAGGCTAGCCTGGGCTATATAGTGAGTTCCAGATGAGCCAGAGCTACACAATGAGAACTTGACTCTGAAAAAGGAGAGAGGGGGGTGGGCAGGGGGAAGAAGAAAGAGAAGACAGAGCGGGAAGGAGTAGGAGGTGGAAGAAGCGGGGAGAACAGGAAAGAGCGAGAAGCCACAAGGGGAGGGGAGAGGGAAAGGGTGAAGGGGAAGAAGGGGGTGGGAAGAGTGAGAACAGGAGAAGGAAGAAAAGAAAGGAGAAAAAGAATATATATGTATAAATATTATATATACATACATATATTTATATATACATATATATATGTATATATATACCAAAAAATGCCAAATGATTTCAAACACTTGGAGTCATTTCCTTCTAAATTTTACATGCATTTACCAAGAAAAGAGTGGGTATGCAGAAGTAACAACATTACTGAGACTTTGATGCATGAAATAGAGATTTGATACTAAGAGAGGGATGGTGTTTACATGATGCTCATCCTGGGGTCAATTAGGCCAGGCAATTTGAATCACCATATCCATAGCTAAACGGTACCTGTGAGGCCAACTAGTTCAATCCCATTATCTTATAAATAAGAATTACAGTTAAAAAAGCCATCAAACCAAATTGGCCAGTTGTCTAATGGTATTGACTAGCTATTCCATTGAGTGAAATGGTCATTTATTCCAAATAATTAGTCTACTTATTCTAGCCTCCCCGCTAGTGCTGCTGAGGGCACCACTCACTCCCCCAAAGAGCAGTCAGGGTGCCTCCAAGACAACTCGTATGGGCAATATACTAGCAGCCACGACACTGGGCGATGAAAGGCTTCTAGTCTTTCTCACTGGGTCCTGGTTGTCACCATATCTGGCATCACTGAAGCTGGGCTGAGCTCTATTGTGTCAAGAATATCTTGAAAACCCAACCCATGGCTCTTAATAAATTCAAACCTACTCTACAACACAACTCATGAATTCTACCGCAACAGGAATGTAGCTGGAGACATGGCTCAAAGGTTAAGGCCATTTATTGCTCTTGCAGAGGACCCACAAGGTGGCTGATGACTATCTGTAACTCACACTCCAGGGGATTTGACTCCTTCTTTTCTGACTTCCAAGGGCACCAGACACATGCATGGTGCACATACATATGTACAGGAAAAACACTCATATGATAAAAAATAAGTTTTTAAAAAACAGATTCCAAGCACTGGCATAAGGTTCTGAGGTGTCTGGTGTCTCTCTCAGCTGCTTTCATTTTCTCCTCTGGAGCCAACCTTCTTCAGGATTGGTGGTCATTTTCTTTGTATGCTATGCTCATCTCTTTAGGTGTTCTTTCCCCTTTCAGCTAAGTAAATATTTACCTTTGCAAGTCACTAGAACCCAGCCAAGACTGTCATTGGGGCATGTGCTAGTCAACAATACAGAGCCCATCCTTCTGTGTAGCCTTTCATCAGTCATGGCCAGAATTGCAAGCTCTGTGTGCACTCCCACACAGGGCTGTGAAATACTGCAGTGTCATTAGGCTGTCCCAAAGTGGGTCAGCTGGAAAATAAAGCAACAATCAATCCTGAGTGGTTCATCTTCCCAGTTGTATTTCTAGTAGAGCTGATACCCAATAAGATCACAGTGACCATCAACTCTTGGGCATGTACATGTGAATAGTCCAGCAACCCTCCTTGTCACTCAGAGTATTGACCCTCCGTATCCACAAGCTGTCTGGGTGGATGGATTCAACCAGAGATGGATCAAAAATATCCAAAAAAAATTATTATGTCAGTATTAGACATGTGCATGACCTTTTATTCTGATCACCCCCTAAATGACACCGTATGATCACTATGTGCATAACATTTACATTGCATTAGGTATGACAAGTCATCTACATACAGATGGTTTAACATGCACAGGAGGATGTGCATAAATTTTGTGTAAAAGTTCCATTGTTTTTTGTGAGAGGCTTGAGTGTCTGTGGATTTTAGTATCAGCAGGGGACCTGGAGCCAATCCTATGGGAGGTACCAAGAGCACTCTATTAATAAATACACTGGCAAACTCCCACTAAGTGCATTTTCCACACATACTCAACAGGTTGACCTGTGTGAGCTCTGAAAACAGGACTTTGGAAGAGATTGGTTTAGGGGCTAGAGAAACAACTCAGCAATTCCAAACCCCTGTTGCACAATCAAGAGAACCAGAGCTTGGATCCCAGCACCCACTTAACAAGCTGGACAACCCACACATGCCTGTTATCCCAGCTCCAAGCAGGAGAGAGACAGAAAAACTACTGGGGTTTGATGGCTTCTGGTCTAAGCATGAAAATATGAGCCTCATGTTTAGGGAAAAGACCCTGCCTCAAAAGAACGGGCAGAGAGAACGACAGCAGAGGACACTCAGTTGCACCTGCACCCACACCCATGTGCACATGCTCACACAGACACGCATCCATACACATGTATGAATAAAACAAGAACCTGCCATTTCAGTCGGCATTATGCAGGCTAAGAGATCCCAGTCTATGAAGGCCTCTAGATAAAGGAACTGCAGTTCTGTAATCACTAGGAAGGAAGACCCGCCCAGGCAGCCCAGGGCTGAGACGGTGTAGATCACCCTCTCTGGAGTAATGAATGATAGCAGGCCAAGATGCACCAAGAGCTCAGTCCACAGTGGCTACTAATAATAGCTAAAAAGCATAAACGGGCATTGAGCCTTTTTCCCTCAGCTCACCAGGCCACTCCTATTTTCAGGAGTGCTCTCTCTTTCTTAATCAACTAAACTAGAGGGGGCGGGAGCATCAACACTTGACTAGTTCTCACAGCCAGAGCTCTGTCCTTTGTCCTGACTAACAAATTGAACTGAGCTATTGGTTAAAGTGCAGGTCTCTGTCACCAGTGCTCAAACTATCCTTGGTCCTCAGGTCGCTGACACTAACACAGTCATCGCCAGAACACTACCCCTTGCAAATGACCCTGTGAAGTGTTGAAAACTGCTGTGAAGTAGTTTTCTTTCTGTCTCTGCTCTCACAGGTATTTATTTTATATTGGAAACTCACTTGACTTTCCCCAGGGACCGTCGTCTGTGGATGATACTAAGGGATGGCCCAGATAGGCTTAGAGACTGGACAGGCTTGTGGCTGTTTCTTTCCTGAGCTTTAGGACTCCATCCAGACCACGGTGGTTGAGTAATGTGCACAAGGAATGACTGAGGGGGGTCTTGTATCGGGGTAGCAGAGACAGTGGCTCTCACTTCAGTGTTAGGAGCTTTACCTGCCGGTCTCCGCAAACCAACCTCTAGGCTAACTGCTCCTGAGTCAGATATTTGGCTAATTACGGTCTTGATCAAGTTGACTTGGAAAAGCTTAATGCAGTTGAGAAGTCAAAGATTCAGTGAGAAGTTCGCTTCACCCTTACATAATTCTTGTAGTGATGACAGCGCTAAGTCGGCATCCTAAGGAAGAGGGGCCTGGCTTTCTTCTCAGGCAGGAAAACAATCAATCAATCAATCAATCAATGACGTGATGCTGCTTGCCTCACAGTGAGTTGACAAACACTGAGCCATTTTCATGTACCTCCTCTGCAAATACCTGTTACCATGATTTTGGTTCTTTCTTCTCAAAGCTGGGGACCCAGACTAAGGGCCTTGGGATTGCTGACCAAGCACACTAGAACTGAGCTAAATCCCCACTCCCTGGCACCACGATTTGGAAAAGGGACACCAACAGATCGTTTTCCCCACCAAGGCTCAAGTGACTGGGAAAGCCCAGGTTGCTTACCTGCCACGAAATCACCAAAGCCTACTGTAGTCAGAGTGACCACCACAAAGTAAATGGACTCCAAGGCTGTCCACCCTTCGATGTATCTAAAAATGACAGCAGGGATCGTCACAAACACGATGCAGCCAGCCAAGATGAACAGAATAGTTGAGATGACCCGGATCTTGGTCTGACTCACTTGCTTTTTCTGGGAGGAGCAAAGGAATAAAAGGAATAGGCAAAGTCAGAGGTAGTATCCTGGATTCAGAAGACAGGTACCCAGAAAGAGATGCTACATCCATGGTTTTTATCTTTTCTCCAGTCATAAGCACCTGTATAGAATTCTAATAACACCAGCAGACTCCTTGCTAGGATAATGCACACACAGATGTTTCCAAGTGTCTATGAAGACCCTCCACTTGAAGTAGAAGCCTACTTGTGTTTTTAATATCCCCTGCATGGTTCCATTACTACAGACCAATTCTGATCCCAGTCACTAGAGTAATTGTAATTATTTCCCAAGAAGATCTTGCTGGCATCTTCCATGTGTTACTGATCTACTGGGGATCTGACATTCAGGGCTCTTCACACATCGGCAGTGTCAAAAATAATAGATTAGGGGAGGGGGAAATGACATTGGTTTGCAAGAGGCAATAAGATCGTCACCCACCTTCTTCATGCCTCCCAACAAACAAAACAAAGAAAAACAAAAGGAAATGGATCCATAACAAAAAAAAATATCCACCATCCATCCCTCATTTATGGTGGGCTCCAGCTAAGCTTTAGTATATCTCTTTATCTACTGTGGAATGTGCATTTCTCTAAATACATGTTGAGTTAGTGCTGTGGTTGTCATATGTGTTGGCTGCATCACCAAATCAAGTAGATGATTCCCAATGAAAGGTCCTTTTCTAAAAGATCGATAGAAGCTTTCTCCTATGCCCACTTCTAAAGGATCCTGCAGCTAGGTAGTAAAAAAAAAAAAAAAATGCATGAAGACTGGGAATTATACTGACACAAATGAGCCATGCCAGCATCATTCAAGGTGGATATGCCTCATCCTTGGAAGGGCCTTCTGATGCACTGTGGTCTAACCTGGCCTTGCCTCTCATGGGATGATCTGAATCTTTTCCGGACTCCCAGAACTGATGCTCCCAGGATGCTGTGTTATTGAGGGGCTTCAATACCATTTAATGGCATAAATATTTGAAGTGGGTATTAGTACCACCAGGCTTCATGGCCTGCCTACATGGCCTAGGTTGTTTTTGGCAAACGTACACAGCACTTGGGGACAATGTAGGAAATCTGCTTCCTGTTCATTGCTCCTAGTATCTCTGAAGGCAAAGAATCTCAGAGCACAGAGAAGCCAATTGCATTCATATTCTTCATTTTACTGATATAAAACAGACACCAAGAGGGGCCAAGGGACTTGCACAAACTGTTGCTGTTAATGAGAGTCAGAGCCAAGATTAGAATTCTGATGTAATTAACCCTCAGCCCTGTGCTTAATGATGGAAACAGCTCCCAGGTTACTCAACAATTGATCAGCTCAAAGAAAATTGCCAAATAAAGTTGACTCTCTCCTAACACAAGATACCAGATGCAATCCTCCTGAAGAACAGGCTATCTTGTGCCCATTATGGCAAGACTAGGAATGAAAAATAGTCAGTGTGCAAACTGTCTGAGAAAAGGTAAAGAAATACAAAGCAAGTCACTGCATCTGACTAATAAGAGGGCAGTTAGCATACAAAGTGGGAGTGGGGGGTGAGACAACAATTTAATCTGTATACCTGTCTCTTCATGTCCTCAGGAAGGCCTTCTAAAAAAATTATTGATATAGCATGACAAATGAAAATACCATCTTTTTCCTAAAAGTGTCACAGGAGAGGTCAGTTATCTGAGAACCACAGGAGACACGTTGCCCATTTCATGAATTACTGTGTTGAATAAGAAAGCTTTGAGGGAGGCAGCTGAGCCCTTCTGACAATCCAGGAACTTACAAGTCTGGTCGAGTTTGCAGACATGCACAAAAAGTCCAGAGTCTGAAAGGAGATTCCATGGCAGTTTATTATGTTCATCTAATTGCTGGCAAGGGGACTATCATCCCCCGTTTCTATAAATTGCCCTCCTCAAATGCATAATGAAATTAAAGTGAATTAAATGTTTGTGTGATACTTGTGAAGTCCTAAATTAGAATAATAACACAACTTTCATCCAAATGAGGATGTGGTTGGCAAAGAAGGGTGGTGAGTCTGTGGGAGGCTGGAGATTTACCCAGCCTCCTGAATGGGCAGGAGTGGGTTTGCTTGATGGAAGGGAAGGCACATGTATAGCAAAGGCTGGGTACTAGTGCTCCGATGGCATTGTCTATTAGAGGGTTCACTAGCAAGGTAGACATTTCTCCTTCTGCCTCCTGTCCACACTGACCAGAGTGTTTCTGGACTCCCAGGAATCATGCTAAGAAAATATTTGGAACATTTAATTATTTGAGGAATTTGGGGGACTTAAGACACCTTATGCATGACTATGTAGAGAAGTATGAAATAATGCATATATCCATACTTGCTTATAAAAATAAGAGATGTGAGCCCCAAATTGTAGCAAAATCTGTGATTCCAGGCATTTGTTTTTGCTCTCCACTAGACAACCATGACAAGGAGACAAGTGCCTTCTCTGAACAGCAGCTTTCACCAAACATGGAGCCTCGGCCTGTGGCATGTGTTGAGCTGCAGGCATTGGCTCTCCAAGAATACACTCCTGAGGGAAGGCTGGAGGTGTTCCTTCTGCAGATCTTTGGAGGTTTCTCTGTTGTGGAATCGTTGGGGAACGTGTCCAGAAGCTGTTCCTTTATCACATTTTGCCAGTCGGCTTTGGAAAGATTTAAGCACTGAAATGATTAGAACTATCATTGCTCACAGGAAGTCATTACTTCAGAAGGAAAACAGATACAAGGTATATGAACAAAACAGGCACTTAGGCTTGAAAGATGTCGACATTCCATGGGAAGGTAGAGATCTTGTTAATATACATGAGATGTCTCAAGACCTCGCTCCAGAAAAGGCCAGTACCAAAACGAAGTCAGAGAAAATGGTTCTGAGTGACCAATGGAAACAGTTCCTCCAAAAATACAAAGAAGAAAAGCAGCTTCAAATATTGAAAGAACAACACAAGAAAACTAAGGGAGGGGTGTTTAAAATGGGTCTCTACAGACCTACAGCACCTGGCTTTCTCATCACAGACCAGAGGAGTGTGAGAGCTGAGCCGGAAAAGGCTTTTCCATTCAGTGGGCAGATTACAAGACCAAAAGCCAAAGACCACATGGAACACACTAAGATTGATAGTAGAGATGTTTGTTCTTCAAGCAACACAATCTGGCCAAAAACAAACTTCTGAAGAGAAAATATTGGACAAAAAGAAAAACGTTGTGCAGTCCATGATGTCATCAGGGAAAGTGACTGGATCAGCTGCTGCTCAGAGGGCAAAGCAGGTGGCCTGAATAGTCTCGTCTGCCACAAAAGAGCCAGTTCCAAGAGTTGTTGATGAGAATAAATCTAAAAGAGTGGGACCAAGTAAAGGAAGACCTGCCAAAAAAAAAAAAAAAAGTCGAATCCAAGCCTGACCAGGTCATTGCCTCTAAAGTTGATAGTGAAGAAAACTGTGGATCCACAGACCAGTGTAACAGATGGAATGGATGTGGGTGGAGTCTTCCCAAAGGTGGTTTGCTTACCTAAGACAGTTCCTGCAAAAGTGAAAGAAAGGAATTTCTTTGCACCCAAGCATTTGTGTGTTTCAGCCACCACGTGGTCTGAAGACCTGTCAAATGGGACCCATGAGTCATAGTAGCGACAATGCTCTCTTGACACCCAATCTTACTGGGACCCTTGAAAACCAGAAGTCACTACAACTCAAAATGCAGCAAATGAAATCTTGGTACAAAAATCTATAACTTGCTCTACCAACACAGCGCAGCAAGAATCAAATATTTCAAAGTGTTTTGGAGTCTCCACAGTCTGTAATGAAGAACATGGCTTAAATCAAAAGAAAGCATCTACTACAAATTCCAATTGCCTTTCTGTGGAAGGAGTCACATCACTTGAGGAGGGTGAAGGTCGGGTGTCTCAGCTACAGCATGACGTGCCATATTTCAGAAAAATCCTCCAGTCAGAAACTAACAAACTAACCTCACAGTGCCTGGAGTGGTACAGGAAGCTGGAACTGGACATTCCTGATGATGCTAAAGATCTTCATTGGCACCGTGGTTGGTCGAACAAGACTCTTTATTATGGGAAGATTCCAACAGTTTGAAGGACGGGTAGGTAATTGTGAATACAAGTGAGGTGAAAAGGAGACTGCCTATTCAGATCTGGATGGATTGGGGGATATGGTTAGTTTTCGGGTAGATGAAAATGAAAATTTCAGGTAAACCAAAAATTCAACAACCAATCAAACTTGAGGAAGCTGGATGGAAAAACAATAATAATCTAAGCAAAAAGTCCTCGGGGGGGGGGGGGGATGGTGCCTAGTAGAGCAAGCAAAGCAAGACAAGATGGTGGTGGAAGAATGGCAGCTAGAAATCGTCTAGCTGCCATACAACATGCAGCGTAAGAGAGATGGCCACGGGAAGAGCATGCCCCAGTGGCAGCTGTCGAAACATGAAAGGCAGTTGACAAGATCGTGTTTGATGCTGGGCTCCTCAGAATTGAGAGTCCTGTTAAGTCGTGTTCAGGACTTTCTTCTGAAGGTCGTTCTCAGAGATTTGGAGCACTCATGTCTGCCAGCAGAGTCATGGCTGAGGGTGGGGACCTTCTGGGACAAAGGATTTCCCTGGAGAATCTGACCCTCAGAGCAGCCAAAGTGAACGTGTTGATAAGATACTGTTTTCAGATATTCTTGAAAGCAGATCTGGCAGAGTAGAAAAGACACTTGGAGTCCTGGAGAACAAGACTCGAGTACCGTAGACCATTCATCCCCAAGCAGCACCAGTCTCTGTGCGCAGGTGGGGGGACCAGACAGCAAGATCATGCCAGACACATCTCCTTTGGTGGTGACCTCATCTTCTTCTCACCTCTGAGACCCCAAAGTAAAGAGCACCAGGAGGGCTTTTAACTTAAAAAGAATCCCAAACACTTTTTTCTTCATATCATTAATTCTCTGATACGTTCTTAAATTGTTGAAAATTTGAAAATATGCCTTAGTATTTACTTCTAT